GTCAGGCCTATGTATGATGAGCACAGCAGAAAGATTCTAGTGATCTCGGAGACTTGCTTAATGAAATCAATTCATATGTGAACAAGATCTACCACCCTGAAGGTGCCAAAATGTTGCTAAGTATTGCATTACTGCGAACACTCTCTTGTTCACATCAAGATCTCTGTTCCTAGCAGAGCAGTATGGGACGTGGAATCCCAAAGTAGGCGACAACGTGGCTATCAGTTTCCCGTGTACCTTTACGTTTTTCTTCCATACATCTGTATCCCTCATGCACTCTCTTCATCAAGACGCTCGCCTTCCCATGCTCAAGTCAATGAAATCTGTTTCTCCTCTGTCAGCAATAGCTCCATTCCTATCTTTACCTCTGGAAGAGGACACATCTGTGTTGGGTCTGAACTAAGTCAACCTATGTGACAGAAAGTGAGCCAGAAATAAGCACGTTCTACATGTTAAAAAGGAAGACATTTCATTGCACAGAGTTTTTGTATAGGTATATGGCCTGGTTCTCAGATGTAATAAACATCTTTGATACTGTAGACTCTCACAGGAATTGCAGGTATTCAACTCTCCATGAACGCAGGCAAGTAGATATGGGATATCCTGAATGAGTGATGCTACTGGAAATAGGCTAAATCTTGCAGTCCTTCACACCCAGCCATCACTTCTGTAAGAAAAGTACTGCATAAAGCTATGCTACTTTTAACATGTAGGATTTCTCCACCTCATGCAGTGGGCAGGTGGCCAAATCCTCCTATCCCAATACCCACAGAAAGATCTGACAAGTTTTGAAACCTTTTTAGGAGACCAGGGCCTTCAAGTAGAGGCTCAGATGCTCCACAGAACTCACCCAACTCAGATCATCCCAAAGGCAGCATAGGGGTTCTCTCAGGCTGCCTGCAAGTCAAGCTTTCTATAACTGTACTGGATGGAAGAATGCTCAATACATTATTTTGGGCTGTAAATTTCCTACTGGACTGAAGAGGAATAGAGAGTAGTAGAGTAGCACACCCTTTCCCCATCACAGAGTACTAAGAGAAGTTGGGCAGATCCAGAGGGGCCACAATGACGTGGTTGTACTCCACTTAGTACTTTCAGTGTGGTTTGGCCAGAGCCCCTGCTTTTTCAGGGCTCTGGAGCCCCACAGTTGTGCTGATGATGATGCTTGTTCCCTCCTTTCCCCTGCTGATGAATTCAGCAGGGGAAGGGCAGACAGAAGCAGCATTCACCTCTTAGGCCCTGGAACCACCTGAACCACCTTGATCATCTGGTGAGCTTAAACAGGAGCCCATGCTTACCAGAGCTCACCCAAAGTGTGTGTATGGGGTGTGGAAAAGGTGCATCTCTGTTGTCCTGTTCCTGGATCTGCTACTGAGAGCAGACAGGAAGCTGGTGTGGTGTTAGGGAAAAGGAAGTCTCACTTAAATAATATTAAAATTTTAAAAATGGATAGATTTTTGCAGATATTTGTATTCATCTTATCTTCCATGCTGCTTTTATAAGAATGTGACCTATCTTCCCATTCATTAGTCAGGGAAAACTCCTATTGACTTTTCCTACAGCATACTAAACTTTCCTCCCGTATTCTTCAAGCAGCTGAAGTTGCCTTGATTGCTGTAAGCAAGGCACATAACAAAATGCACCCTTAAAATAAAAAATTCAGACATAATTTCCTTCTGCTGTTGTAACTGTTAAAAATGCAAATTACAAGCAAGAGGCAATACTCATTAAAATATCCATGATGAAATAGCACTTGACTTACTCTGTGTAGTACTGATAGTGTGCTGCCTAATTAATACTAATTAAATGCACCCCTGCTGGAAGGAAAAAATAAAAATCAAAACAGTATCAGGATGACTTGCTATGTTGCTTCTGCAAATCTTCTGTTTGTACTTATACAGTTACGCTTAATTTTGTACAGAACAGGAAGCAGGACAGGGGTTATAACTAACATGGAGGAAGTGACTCTATTGAAGAATTCAGACACATCTGTTTAATTTCTTAAAGTTGAACCATCTTTGGCTCTTCTGAGTGTCACATGAGCTTCTTTAGAGTGCAATACTTCTAACCACAGATGTTCAAAAAGTATGACCAGAGCCTCCAAAAATCATGATTTGTCTAAAATTACTAGTTTGGAATCTTTAAAAATTGATCTTCTGCTTTCAGTCTTTACAGTGAAGTTACTTTACATTTTCCATCTTTTTTTGTGAAGCCATCATCATTAGAAATTCTTCTGATAGTCTTCTCATGATTCCAGCTGCTAGTGCTTTGAGAGAAAACATCAACCTTTGCAACACTTGTGATAGAGTCACAATAGCTGGCAGTGTTGCTGATGCTTCCTCTGTTTTCCTTCAGCAGTACTTCTAGTATGAGGTGCATTTGGTGACTCAGCCTATGTGCCTGCACAGCAGGCAATAATCTCTTCCTCTACCCTTGTGAGAGGTAGCCCAAAATTCCTGGGCAGAAAGGAATATTTAGGCCCTGGGTGCTGACAGATGTGCGGCTCCCTGGGCCAGCTCATGGCACTTTACAGAAAGCACCATGAGTTAGATCAACCCTCCCAACCCAACAGATGTTTGCTGTTGGATTGGGAGGGTGGAGGATTGAGCTCCACTTTGCAGCTGATCCAGTGAGAGAGAATGTGTGTCTGCAGCTTCTTCCTCTAGCTCTCCCCAAGCTCCAGTGCTGTCTCAGAATGGGAGGGGGAGACAGCAGGTGGGGAGGTCCATTTTGGGGTTTGCCTAGCCTGCCCTGAACTCAGGGGATGAGCTCCAATCCATCCACCCTACCCTCCAGCACATGCTGGACAAACCCCAGCTGGAATCCCCTTCCATCCCTTTCTCCACTCCCATCCTGAAGACAGCACTAGGGAGGGGGCTGGGCTGCTTCAGCCCACCTGTCCCGCCTCCAGCACACATTAAGAGAAGTTAATGAAGGTACTGTGCTTTGGAGTGCCTTCATCTGAACCCTCATGTAATGAGGATTCATTTGTTGAATGGTCAGCAGTAATGCCAACTGCCATGAAAACATCATGAGACTCAGCTGGTAAGTTTGTGGAGGGAAAGGGGCAGAATGGAGGAGATCGAGGTCCCACAGTGAGGGAGGGAATGGGAATGGGGCAAGCAGAAGCTGTGATAAATGGGGCCCCAGGGCCGGGGCAGGTTGTCCAGAGGTGCGGGGGGCAGGTGGGGATTGCACCCCCGTGGGAGGCATGTGCCACCCATGGGGCAGAGGCGGGCTGCCCACTGTGGGCTCGGGTCTCTGTGCCCTGCTGACTTTGCCTTGGGAGCTCAGCTGTGTGACACCATTGCTGCCCACCTGGCAGGTGGCAATGGCATCATGTGGCTCGGTTCCTGGGACAAAAGCAACAGGACACAGAGACCCGAGCCCACAGTGGGCAGCCTGCTTCTGCCCAATGGGGGGGTACATGCCTCCCCATATCTCCCCCAGTGTGCGCACAGCTGTAGGGAGCCATGCCTTGCCCCCCTCTTCCTCTGCGCCTCTGGATGACCTGCCCTGGCCCTTCATTCAACCCATCCCCTGCTCCTGTCCATTCCCTCCCTCACCGTAGGGGCTTTGGATCTCCCCCTGCCCCTTCCCTCTCTCCCTGCCCCTTTCTCTTCACTGTCTGTGTCTCTGTGTTTCTGCCACAGGCTCCACCTCAGCCCTGCTGCTGCCCCTCGCTCCTGACCCACAGTACCCTGCATCCTGCCAGGGTGTGCAGGGTCCCTCCCTTCCTGGGCTCCAAACCCCCCTGCCCACACCCACAGCCCCCCACACCTTCACAAATAACTGCCCTCCCCCCACACATTTCAAAAATAGCATTTCATTATTTACATGCCAATCTTTTTTTTTTTTTTTTTTTTAAATCGAGCTCATCTCATGATTTTTGGCATGGCAATAGTGGGTTGGGCACTTTTTAAAGCCCTGTGCAGCTTTTGTTAGTGCATAGCTGTAGAGCATTTTCAGTGGCTGATCATGCAACAAAACATCACTCCTGTTTCCTCTTATTCCCTGCCATGATTAGGGTGAAACTGATGGAGGAGCATTGCTTTTACTGTTGCTATTTGCTGGCACCAAGAGAAACAATGTGGTGCATGTGGTAATTAGCTGTTGATGTGGCCTACCAGCGAATTACTCCATGCTCCTCAGCAAGAAGGAAGCAAGGGAGAGAGATATTGCTAGGCACAGAGCCATGCTCCGAACCATAGAACATGCTTACGCTGTATGTAAGGAGAATGTTATTATTATTATTATTTATTTGGACTGCTCTGGTGTCTGGGAGCCCCAGTCATCCCTTTGGACACTTCAAATGGAGGTGCAGACCTGTTTGAATGGTAAGTGTGAGTACTCACATAGTCATCATGTAGATTGATTTTATATTCATATTCACATAGGTTGATCACAGTCACATTTTCTGGACCGCTGAGATGTAGGCTGTGGACCCCTACGTATTCGTAAATCACAAGCTGAAAACCACTGTCCATATCTTTATCTTGATGTGCTTTGGTGTTTTGGTTGATTCAGAAGCTCTTGGCCATCAGAAAATGTTACCAGGGATCACTACATGGTAGTGGCTCTCATTGACCCCTTACCCTGCCTTCTGACTCCACGACAGACATGCATGCATGCCCGGGGGGAACACCCAGACCCACTCTCTCAGCTGCAATTAAGAAGCCCAGGGCAAATTATCCCCACCCCCTTCTGCTAACAGAGGGGTCCCCCGGCCAGCTCCTTTGCCTCCACTGGTTTTTCTCTTGCAGTTTGGCCCTGTGCCCCACACCCCCATACTGTGGGGCTGGGGGCAAGGGGCAGGGTTGGCCAGTGCTGTTTACAGATGGGCCCTGGTACAAACCCGGTTGAGAACCACTGCCCTAGGACAACCCCTTTCTTCTGCTAACAGGGGAGACCCCAGGCCGAACCTGAGGGGAAACTAACATCCCCGCTTTCCCCTGCCAAGACGACCCCTCCCCCCCGCGCCAGGAAGAGCCCTGTGGCCAAGCAAGGCCCCTCTCCCTTTCCCCTTTCAGAAGCAGGCTCCGTGCTCCCGCCGCCAGGAGCTCGGGTGAGGCGGGGTAACCTGAGCGGTGCCGGGGCTCGCCTCGCCCTGCAAGCGCCGCCGCCGCGCGCCCTCCCCTCGCTCCTGCATTGATTATTCCGGAGCGGCGGCGGCGGGGGAGGCAGAGGGGCCCTGGCCTCGGTGTCGGCAGCTCCCACCCCTCCCTCTCGCCCGCCCTGCCCGCCCAATTCCGCAACTGTTTCCCAGAGTTGGCTCCGGGCAGAGGACAGCGCCGCCGCTCCCCACAGCGGCGCGGCCGGGAGGCGAGGCGAAGCGAAGCGAGGTAGGTAAGAGGCGCGCGGGCTCGGGGAGCCGGCGGGGCTGGGGCTGGGGCAGGCACAGCGGCGGGGAGGACCCGGCCTGCCCCCACCTGGGCTGCGGGGGCCGGGCCCCGGGGCCGGCTCGCTGCTCCGGCTGCAGCCCGCTGCCGCTTCATGGCAACTTCAGGGCTGGAGGTTCCAGCCGGGCTTGAAGCAGAAGCAGCAGGCAGCTCAGCATCGCTGTGGGGGTCTCCCCCTGCAAGCGACTGCCTGGCGCTGGTGGTCATTGCCCGCGTCGTCATCATCAGATCGTAGTATTATCACCATTATCATTAATGATGATGATGATATCATTAATCATCATTAATATCATCGTTGTCATTTTCATTAATAATAATGATGGTTATGATATAATTATTATCATTATCCACAAGATCATCATTAATAATGATGACGTCATGATTATCATTATCCACAAGATCATCATTAAGAATGATGATGTCATTATAATTAATATAATCAATATCATCATCATCCTTATTATTAGCAATATAATCATTGTTATCATGTTATGTATCATTATCATACTATATTTCATTATTATCATGGTTTTTATATTTTATCATGTTTTCCTATATCATTATGTTAGTATTATTATTATTGCCATTATTATCACCAACAGCATTATTGTCATTACTCTTGCCCTTATCATTATTACTATTATTATTCCAATAGCTAATGGGATCCTAATGGACAAATGGAATCAGCCCTAATAGGTGCATGATCTCCTCGCAGCCCCTTTTGCTCCCCCCTCCCCCCCCCAACAACAGCCAGCTGCGTTACTCTTAGAGTTCATGCCTGTCTGCACTAGGTCCAGAGTGCTTGGCTGCTGTTTTTTTGCTGGACATCATTCCCATTCTCCATGGTCTGACTGTTTCTAGATGGCTGTGGGGGGGTGGGGGGCAGGAATCAAGCCCAAGTTCTAGAGAGAAATTGAATTTTGAAAGCTGATCCACAGGGCTCTGCGCTTCCCAAGCACTTGCACCGTCTGTGCAGTTCACAGTGCTTCTGAAAGTTGCTCGCATTTCCACCAGAGAGGGTTACGAGCTCCTGCAGGGGTGCAGCCATTTGTGTGGCTAATGGAATCTGAGCACTCTCCAGAAGGCGCAAGAGTGGGGCTAAGCTCTGGGTTTTCAGCCTTGCACTGAGCTGTGTCTCAATCCCCAGAACAGTGTCGGAGGGCAGTACCTTTTCATCACAGCAGCACGGGTAGAGTTTATCCCGTCATCATGATTTCAGTGAGGAAATCCAAGGCTGTGGCTATTGAGATGTGATCAGTGTTTCAGCCTTGCATTGAAATCCCCCCTGATTCTAGGATGAGCTCATAGCTTGAACATGTCAGCTGGTATTCGGGCCCTGTGAGTGTTTTGCAGAGGTTTTGTGTATCCGATCGGACAAGGTTTTATTTCACTTCACTTTCGTCATTCTGCTCTTTTGACTCAACAGCTTTGGGAGCTCTGTAAGATGCACATCAGCATGTGTTGTGCTGCTTAACTTTATCTTGGCTGAGGAGGGTGAGCTGATGGATGTTACAGCTCACAGTGTCTTAAGTCACTGTGGATAGCTGAGAGAGATCCTCTGGTGCATTTAAAATAATTGCTTAATATGCATTGTATGTCCTTCTGGAAACGCAGTGCCTGGGTGGGTTTCCCTGTTTGGGGTCATTGCCTGTCGGCATGTCATCCTGTCGATTTAATAGCAAATTGCTGGATTTGAAATGTTTAATATTGATGTGATGTTAACGTGGGTTAAACAACCCTTAGTTGTAAAACTGCTACCCAAAGATTGATTTCATCGCTCAGGTGAGCTCTTCAGTAAATTAGCCCAGATTTATAAAAGAGATGAGCAAGAGTTTGGAGTGTTTCTGTGCCTATTGATTTTTCTCTTCCTTCCCTGTGTATGTATAACTTGAGCACTAACATGAGCTGCATGTATATGTTTTGAGTCTGATCAGGCTTTTCTTGCATGCTCAAATTCAGTGAGAGTTTTGGCTAAGCCAGGAATTACAAGGGCAGGTTCTGACGGGGTGAAAAACACGTATCCAGTATTTCTTGACTTAGAATCATGAGCAGTTGACGTTTGAGTGTAGGATGGATTAATTCATGCGTGGTTTGTTTGGTCTGAATTGCTTGCAGAAATCCAATTCTGCAACTTGGAACACCCACTGAATTAGTAAGCTACACTGATACTGGATTTGTGGCAAGCTTCACTAGGAAATGACATGCCTTTGCAACATGCATAATGCAACGCCTACCGTTATCCCTACTATTACCATTCTGTCTGTGATTTTTGTCTTTTCAACATGTTGAAATACTGATTTGCAGATAGGTGGTTCAGACTTCAGCTGACCAACCAAAAACTCATTTGCAATAGCAGAGTGAACAGTTTTGTTTAAGCTGTCAAAATTCCTGTTCCTGTGTTGGGGGAATAGAGAGTTAATGCTGATCACAGTGATGTTGGTTTGCTTGTATTTTGTTTCTGCGTTGTTTTAACATTGTCTCTCTTCCACTGGTTTCTACTGATGGGCTATTTCTTGGTTTTCATGGGTTTATTTATCTCCTTGTATGGCCTTTAAAATCTAGGTTGACAGATAATTTTTAATAAATGTACACAATTTTAGTAGCTCTGAATTCAATTTGATCTATGGTCAAAATATTTTTCAGCTTCCTGCCTAGAATAAATGGGCAAGTAGACCTTGTAAGAGCCCTGAAAGTCAGAAAACTTGGGCTGTCTATTCAAAGGGGGCATAAGCTCCAGAGGCAAGGAATGTGTGTGAAGCATACCTTGTTCCCATTGCCATATGAATATAGAGAGGACTCTGTATTATTCCTAGTGTCAGGGTGTGCCAGTACCTTCTGTTGAGTTGCATCATCTGCTTCTTGAGTCTGAAAGCCCTACAGACAAATATATTTAAGTCTGACAGAGAGGAATGCGTCCCCATTAAAAAGGAGGGACTGAAACTCAAGTGCCTAAATATGGAAGAGATCAGACAGTGCCTTGTAAATGTCATTAGCCAGCACCATATCATAGAGGAAGTAAGTGTTTATAGAATAACTTGCCCACAGAGAAAGTACACTAATTTCCATTGGCTAGAGATGGCTTATGCTGTGCATCAAGCACATAATTTAGGAGAAGTTGCCTAAATCTGATAGAAAGACAGTTGAATTCTTTGGTAGCTATCAGTTTTTCTTGTCATGCATTTTCTTCCATTCCTAAGGAAAAAGTCACCCATTGCATAGTCAAAGAATATCTGAAAGAGGTGTTCTCTTTGGTTTAATCCCTCGCATTAATCGGCATGTTGTTTATGTGTTGAGAATTGGGGTCCAGACACAAAAGGATACATCATAGGGGGGGTAGCTGTCTTTGCACCAAATTCTACGAACTTTGCCATTTTCAGTTGATCTCCTTGGTCAGATCTCAAAAGTTTCAAAATGCAGAAGCACATATAACCACATTAAAGACTCACTAAACATAGTTCTCTTCCAACATCAGTATAAATTGGGAGCAACACTGTTGAAGTCAATGTAGGTAACCTGGCATAAAACTCTTGTGAGCAAAGAGTCAGATCTGTTGACCTCAGTAGGAACTGTGTATTCCTATCTGAGGACAGAATTTGGTCTGTAGAGAGGTGCATTTTAATTGGCAGCTGTCCTAGACCACTAGAGCACAGCTTTCTAAAATGAAGTGTAATTATGAGCTACAGCAGCCAACAAATGCAGTGCTGTCTTTAATCAGTGCAATTCCTATTTATCAGCATGCCAAAATAGGAGAGATTTGTTTGCAGTAGCTCAAGAATTTTGTGTTCTCTCCTGAAATGATTTTAAACCAAGGGCATGTATGTTTCGCATGACTTGAGACTGCCTTGCTACAGTAAATTAGTATTCTCCATCAGTCTACTCCATCCTTGTGAAGGATACGTCATTAATTAATTTTGTAGCAAGGCAAATGCAGATTACTGTATTAAAGTTCACATTGCTCTAAATGTGTACGTGAACAGTACTTAGAAAATATCTTGAACTTTTCTGCTGTCAGGGAGTATTTACTTCCTTCTATGGTGTGATGTGGGAGATAGAAAATTGATCTTGCCATTGAAACATTGACCTGCGGCTTGTTCATTTCCCAGTTCAACCACATGCTTCCAGTGTGACCTGGATCAAGTTTCTTTTAGAGGGAAGAATTTTCAGGAGGGCTCAGTTGTTGCCTAACTCTTCCCCCATGGAAATCAAGGCAAGGCACAAAATGCTACTTTCACTGAAATTTAAATCAGTGCTGAGTACGACTGCATATCCTACCCTTCTTCCCCAGTTTAGCCAAGTACTTAATCACCTATCTAATTTAAAACACTTCAGTGGGATTACAGTACCTTCCTGAACAGGGGCCTGAATCTCTGAGTCTCCTATCTGTTAATCAGAGATACTCTTGTTTCTTTTGTCTTCTCTGTTTAAATGGTAAATTCTTCAGGTTTTGATGGTCTGTTAACATGTTTGTAGAGTGCCTAGTACAATGGGACTCCAGTCTCAGCTGGTGCCTGGAGACTATAGTCCTAATAGAAAAATCAACTGTAACTTGGATCTAAAATAATAGCAAAAGTCTATAGTGTTTTACGTACTAATAATTTTAATATTGGAATGTTGTGATCCTATAATATACTGTGTTTTTGATGTACTTTGTTAATCAGTTCTGACTGATCTAAGAACTTCATGGATCTGCTGTTTGTTTACTAAAGCAATGGCACCAGAATACTGAGACCATAAAAATTATAAGGGCTGTTCTTCGTCTTTAAAAAAAAAATAGCAGATTGTTCTTTTTAGAGAAGAGCAATATAATTTTGTATGTATTCATCCTATATACTCCAGAAGTAAGAGAGACTCATAAGGCTATGTGGAACAGAGCGAGTAGTTTCCTTGGTCTCTTATAAATAAAAAGGAAACCAATAGTGCATTTTAAATAGGGCAGATTTCTTTAAA